CCATAACCACAGAGTAGTTTCTTCAGATGGTCTTGATGTTTGTGCTAGCTGACCTTTTAAAGTTAACCTCTGCCTCATAGTTTGTGAATGACTTTGCAATTAACTGTGTCAAGTATTACACAGGAGAGTTGGATGTTGCAGCTTATATCACAGTGAAAGAGGCTGTGCTAAGCAATGTTACCTTACATTTTTCCAGATTTAATTAAGTGTGCTAAAGCAGTTATTACTGCCCAGCTGACAGACAACAACTTAAGTCATGCTAACTGGATTTCAGTCCAAATCCCTAATTGTGATTGATTGAGTATATTATATATGCATTTAAATGTTTTTCTCTGCTTAGTGAGTCAGAAACTGTAGTCTGTAGCACTTCTAGGTGGTGCATTAGACAAGTATTTGCCCTATGATGAGTGGAGAAATTCAAACACTTAAAAATCAGTGAAATGTTGATCCTGAGCTGAAGGTTGTTATGGTTTGTTATCCACAGCATTTTAGAAGTACTTAGGTGTCAAAACCTGCACGTGTGCAGCTTGGATGATTTGTAGAAGCTCTTAACTGTCGGGAAATTAGCAGAAGAAACAGCCCAGGTGTTTGTCTGCATCATTAGGAGACAAAATCTGGTTCCTGGGCATGGCTGAGTGACAAAGTAAGATTCTTTAGGGGGAATTTGCTCACAGTTGAATTTCCGGAGTTTGGAACCCTAAAATGTAAATCTACCAAGATTATCAGATTCCTTGGGAAAAAATGAATTTGAACTCTGGAAGCACTTTCTAGAGTTGCCAGGATTTGCGTGCCCTTTCAGGTTCACATCGGTGCTATATCCCTTGTGACTTCACTGTGAGCAGGACTAGGGCCTTTTATTTATGTTCCTTCTACTTAGAGGAAACCATGCTAAAATGTGTATTTAATCTTGGGAGGTTTATGGAGTGTAAGTGTGCAGGAAACACGAGCTGAGGCTAAGACAACATAGCCATGAAGGAAACCGGTAGAAAATCTGTAGGCATGTGCTCTCTTTGAGTATTTTAAGTAGCAGAGCACTACAGCTGTCAACCAGTTCAACTCTTTCTGTTGTGCCTGGATAATCACAGATTAATGCTAACAAAAGATGAAACTGACCCAATTTAGAATTACTAGTAGCCAAGGTGTTACCATGCTCAAAGATTCAACATATCAAAAAAGATGTTTTGAAGCTTGTGGTGTAGGACAGAGATTCACATTCACAGAGAATGGAGACTTTGTGTAGATACTATGCAAAACATAACTGAGAAAGAGGAACTTTGCTGACAAATAAATGTATAGTATGGGGGTGCACATGGTCACTAAAAATCTCTTAGGGGTTTGTTCCAGAAGAGGTTGGAAACCACAGCACTTTGGGGTGTGTTATACATCTGTGGTGTAGCTGTCTCTAAGGGACTGTATCTGCAGACTGTCTCTGTGACTCCCCTTTTGTGAGCTTCAGGGATTTCACAGCGTGCTAAATATCCAGAAATTTGCAGCTCCCCTTCCAAGCCAGACAGTGGGCCTGTGGCCTCACCAGCAATGTGTGACTGCAGAAGCACTGGCTAGAGCCCATCTCCAAGCTGGACTGGGAAGAGTTAGATCCTGTCATTCTGGTTTTTATTCTAAAGTTTGTATCCTTTTCACATAGCTTTCCTTATGACTGGCTTTTATTTAGCCCTGAAGCTCAACATTTGGAACTTCTATTTGTTGGTTTTTTTTCATTATCTTGGAAAATAATGTTCATTCTTCCAGTAAGCATCTTTCTTCTGTGTCATTTCATTTTCTATTCTATATGAATTCTTATCCAGTAGCTCCTTGAAACAGCTGAAGCAATTAAAGCAAACAAGTAACTAACATCTGGTATGTGTTTATTTGCTCTCTTATACTCTCTCCAGGGCAAGAATTGTGTGATTTGGAACAGTTACCAGTTTATTATGTTATCTATATTTGAAGAAGACCAAAGAGGTTAATGTTGCACTTCAAGTTGAGATTTACAAAGTTTGTGGTAGTTCTTTGTTCTTAGGATGTTCACGAAACAGGCCTTGGCACTTCAGGAAAACATCATTTCCAGCTGAGCATAGTTTTACCCTTGAGGGAAAGTTTCCTGAGTGAATAAAGGGTTTCCATGAGTAGAGAGCACATCGTGCTGAGACCAAAGTTGTCATCTGTGGTCATTGCCCTGTGGCTCGAGTCACTTGTTAAAATGACACAAATTGTTCTGATGGTAGCTGGCGCAGCAGTGTCCTGGTCTGTGGCTCAGGAATCAAGGTCTCTGCAAGACAAGACATTCTTCAGAAGAAGATGCTCTTGACATAGTTATTGTGAATCTTTCCTGTATGTTCTTTCTGTAGTCTGAAAATCACTTAATGGTAGTAATACATTAAGCAGGTTCTGGATCATGCTCTTTCTAAGCAAGATCCACTTTCTCTCTGCACAAATATTGTACAAATTATGACAGTACCCTCAAAATAAAGCAGAAAATTATTGCTCACTGAATTTATTATACAGAGCAATTTCATGAAGGCACCATAATGAATATTATCTGCATAATCGATATGGTTTTATATTGCTATCTCAACAGTACGTCACTCTAGTGTACTAAGAATTTGCTGAGCACTAGGTTCTTGCTTTAGCTATTTCAGAGTAAAAATTGCTTTGCATTTGTCATTATTTGTCATGGTCAGAAGTGCCCCCAGACAGGAGGATAGTGGTGTTGAGCTGAAGGAGGGTAGATTTAGATTGACTATTAGGAAGCAGTTCTTTACTGTGAGGTTGATGAGACACTGGCACAGGTTGCTCAGAGAAGCTGTGGATGTCTCATCCCACTTAATCCAGAATTGTTCAAAGCTGGGTTGGATGGGCTTCTGAGCAATCTGGTCTAGTGGAAGGTGTCCTGTCCCTGTCAGAGAGGGTGGGTATGAGATGATTGTGTAGGTCCCTTCTGACTAACCATTTTATTCTGTTTATTTAGTTCTATGACTATATGATCTGAGATCTTGCCTGGTTTTTATAGTGCTCACTTACACTGCCAGTGTTCTTGTGTTAATGAATTGCTAGAAGTGGAGATTTTATTGACTTAAAATGAATCAATAACTAGAGGGTTTTTGGGTATACTGAATATACTTTGACTTCCAGTCACCCCAGTCCAGATTTATGGCTTTTTTTTTTTTATTTGTAGTGCTATAAAACAGAGCTTGGCTCTAGATCGTGAGTGAAGTGTGGTGATGTTTATCAGATGAGTCTTGCTGCCCTTCTGTGAGGAGAGATCAATGGTCTTATTTTACATCTTAATGATTCCTAAAAACTGAAGCCTTGGGAAATGGCTGGAGCAAGCATGTCTTACAACCACTCTATTGGTTGTAAATTGTAGATTGCAAATACATGCCTTCAAACTAAATCTAAATGTGCAAAATAATTTATATGTTGTTGTGATTTAACCTCAGCTGGCAGCTCATCCCCATGCTCACCTATCCCCTGTGGGATGGGGCCGAGAACCAGAGAGGTGAAATGAGAAAACTTATGATTTGAGATAAAAAGCATTTAATAGGTAAAGCAGAAGTGAAGCAAAACAAGGAATTCATTCAGCCCTTTCCCATGGCAGGTGTTCAGCCATGCCCAGGAAGGCTGGGCTCCATCACATTTAATGTTGACTTGGGGTGACAAACAGCATCACTCTGAGTGTCACCCCCCCTTTGCCTCTTCTTCCCCCAGCTCTACATGCTGAGCATGACCCCATATGATATTGTCTGTTAGGACAGGAGGGTTTTGATACTGTCCTGTCACATTTAAAATTAATTGGTTTCCATACAAAATTGAAATAAATTAGCTTAGTGTACATCAATTAGTGTTTAAGTGTCAGAGATCAAAAACATTTGCTCTCCTCATGATCTGAAGTTACATATAATCTGATGGCAAATGTAAGAACTGTGAGTTTTGGCTTCACAACGACTTGGAAGGAAAGCAAGAAAGCAGTTCTGTAAAAGTTTAGTTACTGACTAGTAACTATAACTTCCTTTTGAATTCAGTTTCAGCTGAATTTATAGTAAAATATGGAAACATTAAACTTCCTTCTGTCCATCTGCAGGTGTCCACAGGTAGTTGTTGAGGAAAAATTACTGTGGAAGTTCCATCTCTGAAAGCTCTGTTTCCAGACATGACACTTCAACTTCCCAGCACTGCTGTAGTGGTTGTAGCAATGCTGTGGCAGAATAGGAATTGCCTGTGGAACTGACCAAGGTTGTAAGAGGGCTGTGACACTTCAGGTGAGTAGGAAGGCAGATAGAAAAGTACCTGAGGCAGTGCAGATACCCAAATATATACTGCAACATTCTGAAGTCAGGAACTGAAAAGCTTCAAATGCAGTTTTGATATGTTTTCAAGAACACAGAATGTTCTTGTGTGGATTACCCTAGAAGTAAATGAATTGATATGTCAGCAAAAGTAATTGCAGTCCACATTCAAGCAAATAACATTGGAACAAGTGGATTACAAATTGCAACATCATATAAATTAATGCAACTCAACTGAAACTGTAATTGAGAGAAACCTGCTAAAAAGTTTTATCCTAAATGTTTTGATTGATTGACAAGTTTTCTCTTTAAAGATTTTTTTGCATCATTGAAGTACATGGATTTCATGCCTATTAATTTCAAAGTAATAGTAAAATAGAGACTGATTTGCAGATGAATTCAGCTGTCTTTCTTCACCCTGGTAAAAAAGAGACCTAAGCCAGAACCTACTGCTTTCAAATTTGCTAAAGCTTTGTAAAACTTTGCTAAAGCTTGTAAGCCAAACTAATTTAAAACTACATGACTGTGAAATGCTGAATAAGGGTATTTATAATTTGATTTCTTTTTTTATTTGTTTTGTTACAGCATTTCACAGTAACCAGAGATGGAGAAAAGAATGTGTCACGAGAGCAAAACTGAATTAAATGCTCTAACAATATCTTATGTTCTTTTCAGGTTCTATGTAATCTCATTGAGAGACAGCTGTGGAACTCGTCTGTCCAAAATGGTTTATGGTGAATTTTTTCGCAGACCTGGCAAAGATGCAGAACTTATAAATTTAAATGTGGGTGGCTTTAAGCAATCAGTGGATCAAAGCACCTTGCTCCGATTTCCCCATACCAGACTCGGAAAACTTCTCAAATGCCATTCAGAAGAGGCTATTCTAGAACTGTGTGATGATTATAGTGTGGCAGACAAGGAGTATTACTTTGACAGGAATCCTTCCTTGTTCCAATATGTTCTGAATTTTTACTATACGGGCAAACTTCACGTTATGGAAGAACTTTGTGTCTTTTCCTTCTGCCAGGAAATAGAGTACTGGGGGATAAATGAGCTGTTTATTGATTCCTGCTGCAGCAATCGGTACCAAGAACGGAAAGAAGAAGGTCCTGATAAAGACTGGGATCAGAAGAGCAACGACAGTATGGACTCCTCCAATGAAGAGTCATCCATATTTGATAAAGAGCTAGAAAAGTTTGATAATCTATGTTTTGGTGAAATAAGAAAGAAGATCTGGGTCAGAATGGAAAATCCTGCATACTGCTTGTCTGCCAAGTTAATTGCCGTGTCATCCCTGAGTGTTGTTCTGGCATCAATTGTGGCCATGTGCATTCACAGCATGCCAGAATTTCAGAGGCTGGATGCCAATGACAGGGAGATTGGAGACCCTGTGCTGGAAGCTGTGGAGATTACGTGCATCATCTGGTTTACTGCTGAGCTAGTGATCAGGCTTTTCACTGCTCCAAGTCAAAAGAAGTTCTGGAAGAAACCACTGAACATCATTGATTTTGTCTCTGTTATCCCATTTTATGCCACACTGGCTGTGGACACAAAGGAAGAAGAAAGTGAAGATATTGAGAACATGGGGAAAGTGGTTCAGATCCTGCGGTTAATGAGGATATTTCGCATCCTGAAACTGGCCAGGCACTCCGTAGGACTGCGGTCTTTGGGCGCTACTTTGAGACACAGCTATCAAGAAGTTGGACTTCTGCTTTTGTTTTTGTCAGTTGGGATTTCTATTTTTTCAGTGCTTGTCTACTCTGTGGAGAAGGATGATGACTCATCAGAACTGCAGAGCATCCCTATTTGCTGGTGGTGGGCAACCATCAGCATGACCACTGTTGGTTATGGGGACACTTACCCGGTCACACTCGCTGGGAAGCTGCTCGGCACCCTCTGCATTATCTGTGGGATACTGGTGGTAGCACTTCCAATCACCATTATTTTCAACAAGTTTTCTAAGTACTACCAAAAGCAAAAAGCTATTGATAGAGACCAGTGCAACAATGACCGCAAAGAGAAAAGCAATGACCTACCCTATTTTAACATTAGGGATATTTATGCAAAAAAGATGCACTCCTTCATTTCTAGCCTTTCTTCAGTAGGAATCGTAGTCAGCGACCAAGATTCAACAGATGCCTCCAGTATCCAAGATATGGAGGATGTTTATAACACAGTATCTTTAGAGAATGGTACAGGAAAATGAGTTGAATCACGTTTGCTTCTCTTTATTTCTCTTCTTATTCTTGGTAAATGCTGACTGACAAACTTCCGTGAATTCATTAAGAGCAGTTGATTCTCAGGGTACTTAACTCTCAGCCATATTTGGACATTCTTTGCTCTGAGGATGCCATAAAAGCTTCATTGCTTATATGAGGCGTTAGAATATGCCTCATATAGTGGTTTAGTTTTTGCACAACTAATGTTATGCATTTTTGAGACAAAAAGTTGGGAAGAGAGTTTTAAATGTGAGATAAGTGGTTTTTTGGTTCTGTGGGTATTGTTGTTCGATTTGTTCATTGTTTTTTCCCCTGCAGCAGTCTCGTATCTTACACAGAATTTGCTTTTACAATTTTCTGTTCTTCAGGTAGAGATGTATTGCAAACATGTAAGAACTATTGCACAAGTTAGTTAAGTTTTTACCTGCAAATACATTAGATAAATGAAGGAATTGTGTACATGTAAAACTGTGCTCACTAACACATTTATGTAATTTTAGAGTTGGGAACCCATTTCCTAAGTTGGGGCAGAAAATATATATTGGTACATATTGTTTTTACTCCATGGAAGCATAATATTTATTAATTTCATTTCAAAAGCACAATACATTTTTAGTTTGTTAAAATAAATGATTCCCATTGTGCCTATATTTTTCCTAGGATCCAGCCATGGCCAAGCTGTATTGGGTCCTAAAGGTTTTAAGTCTTAAGTCCCAGGATGAAGTGTCTGGTTTAAGCAGGATTGGAGGTTTTTGTACCACTTAGCCACCTCTTCCGCTGTTGTGACCCTGAGCAATTCTGGTGCCTGGAGGGAATCCTGCTGTGATTAAGGCCACCCCGGTGGCTTCCCCAGGGACTTTGATTTGTGGGCATTGAAGCAAACATCCGTGGTGGTCTTCAGAAGTTACTGCTCCCTAGTGCCAGCCAGCTCCTTGCTGGGGGCTGTTGCCTCAGTGGTAGGGGCAGTGGGAGCAGCAGCTCGGCTGCTGTGCTGGGTCTGTGTCCAGGGCTGAGGTGCCGGGCAGTGGAGGTGTGAGGACGTGCTCTTCTCTGCCATATATTGCCCATCAGAGAGGTAAGGTGGGCGCTGCCCTGTTGGAACTGTTTCAGCTCATTTTTCTAAAGCTCATCTGCTGGTGGTGGCAGCTTTCCTGGTGTGTGGTGTGTGCTGGAGCAGTGCTCATTGCTTGGCAGTCCTGCAGCTCTGTGTGTTCCCCTCCAGGGATTTCTGAAGCAGCCAGCTAACTCTGCTCTGTTTCAAGCAGTGCTGGAGAAGCTCAAGGACCTTAGAGTGTTAAGTGGACCTTATAGCCCATAGTGTTTTTGAACACTCATTCTCTTTCATTTATCTGGTGGCTAAATCAGATGCTGGGCAGCAGGAATCAAAGACACTGTGATGTCAATATTTTCCTTAAAGAGAGGTTTGAGTATTTTATTTTTTTAATATTACTGGGTCAAATACAAATGCCTGTACTAAGCTTCTATTCAAGAATATAAAACTCTGTAGGAATTGACTTCAGAACTGAGTAAGATGCCAGAAAATGACAATTGATTTTAGCTACTGCAGAAACTTGATTTTTCATGTGTCTGCCAGATTTTCTGTTGCAAAATGCATTAAATAACTGAGGTGCACTTAAATTTACTAAGGCACAGAGCTCTAACCTCTTTCTGACATGGAGAAATGAAACAGAAAAGGTTCAACATATGCATTGTAAAGACGTGTCTCAGGACTACTGCTGTGCATCAATATAGTGATTTGGGACATAAAGAAAATATTTTGAGCTTTGGAGAAACCTCAGATTTGGCTTGTTACTTGCTTGTAAGGGTATGTGATGCTTCACAGACAATTAAAGATAATTCTTCCCATAGTTCTTGTAGTAATAACAAAAAGCAAAGTTAGCCTAAATGTGATTTGTTCTTGCTGAACATTTGACATTAAAAAGATGCAAAAATACAAAATACTAAATGTGCCTGTGCATATGAATCTAATAGGAACCAACAGAATAACAGTAAAAAAGTTATTCTCTGTCCAAAGAAAATCTCTTGTTGGTGTCCATGTAAAGGTATATTTATATATATATGGTACATTGCCACGGAAGATCAAAAGCAATGAAAAGTATTGTAATGCAACAAAACCTGCAAGAAATCGTATTAAATAGTTGAAAAAGTGCTACTGAAAAATTTCATTTTGTGTATCAGGCATTACTCAAGGATCACAAAATATACAGCTTAGTGGATTAAATTTTACTGACTGGTAATTTGTCATAAAATTGATAAGCTTTTGCTCTAACTCATGAATCAGTCTTAAGGCTGTTACACTTTTTAAGTTCCTCTGACTTTCCTTATGCATGGATACATCTTGCAGCAAAGCGAGATACATCTTTTGGAACACATCAGAAGGTGATCCATATATCATTTAGTGTGCACTATTTTGATTTCTGTGATGATATCTTGGCCTTTTTCAGATCAATTGTATCTTAAAAGTGGCTTTCTTGTATCCTTATCCCCTTGCTGGAATAAATCCAGCACCTTGGTTTCACAGAGGCGTGACTGTGAGCAGGATGTGAGCTGTGCTTCATGCCAGAAGATGCTCCTCTCAAGGCAGATCTGCAGTGCTGCTAGAGAGTGTCACAAACCTCAAGTGCCAGAGGGAAGCAGAGAGCAAAGACTGAGATACTGCACATTCTAGGGGATTGTTTCTTATTGAATCTGCCTTCTTCCTTGGTCTACAGTGGCATGTTGTTGATTTGTGATATCAGTGTCAACAGAAGGTATATTGGATATTGGTTTTTTTCCTGAATCACATTTTTTTTGCATTAAAAATGCTTCCTAAATTCTCACCACCAAGCTGCTCTGTTTCAGACATCAAAGCACAGAGAAGATTACCATTTAGACATACATCCCATTTTGTGTGGGAGAGATTTGTTTGATTTTATACAAAACAATTTACTGGCATGTTGTTCCTTTCTTTGTTTTGATGCCAAACTCTTCCCTTTTGATACCCAGTATTTCCACAGGAGCATCCACCTTTGCCTGGCTTTCCTTAGTGTGTGGTGGGGAGGCAGCACTGCACTGCACTGCATTGCAGCTCTCTTTGAGAGGCTTCCAGCTGGCAGGGGTATCACCCCACTGCCCACAGCTCCTGCCTTGCCAGGGGCAGGCTCTGACACTGGCACTGCTTTTTGGGATATGTTAGTAGAGGAAAAAGTCCAATGTGGAGGAATTAGAAAAGAGAAATGGGAGAAGGCAGGAAGCAGTTAGTCAAAGGGGTGGTGGAGGAGCATGAGAGGACCTCAGAAGAAAGAGAAAAAAGAAGTTGACAGAAAGAGTCCTCATATTTTTTTCACTTATTTCCTGGGTTTTTTTTACACCAGTGCTTTTGTCCCCTTTCCTTCTTTCTCTCTTCTATCCCCTCCTGCTCCTACCCTGGCCCCCCTTCCCAACCAGCCTCTAATCCAGCAGCCTAAAAATGTCTAAAATTTTCATGTCTAAAAATGAGGGTCTTTCTGAATCCAGAAAGGCATGTTCCATCCACCTGGAGAGCAGCAAGCAAAGCTTAGCAGGGATGAAATTAGTGAGCACAGGCAGTGCTTTTGTAAGAAGTCACGGTGTTGCTCAGATTGTGAAACATAAATGTGGGGTAAATAAACATCACATTTGTGTCAAGCCTGTAAACGGAATACCACTTATGGCTTAGATAGAAATTCACAATCCACAACCTCCTTGTGAAGGGGAGGGGCAGACATTGATCTCTTCACTCTGGTGACCAGTGACAGGACCTGAGGGAATGGCCTGAAGTTGTGTCAGGGCAGGTTAGGTTGCATATCAGGAAAAGGTTTTTCACTCAGAGGGTGGCTGGGCACTGGAACAGGCTCCCCAGGGAAGTGCTCACAGCACCAAGCCTGACAGAGCTCAAGAAGCATTTGAATAATGCTCTTGGGCACGTGGTGTGATAACTGGGGTGTCCTCTGCAGGGCTGGGAGTTGAACTTCATTCTCTTTGTGCATCCCTTACAACTCAGCATATTCTGTGATAATGCCAGATATTTCCATGTAAAAGCAGACTTCTTGTTGATTCCCATGTGAGCAGGTTGCTGTCAGGGACTGCTGAGAGTATCAGGCAAGATTTGACTGGCAAATGCAGTACGTGGGCTCACAGCATGCCAAGGGCTCCTGACAGGCTGCTGTGTATTAATGCATTTACTCATTTCCACATATTCCTAACGTCTAGAGCAAGTGACAAAAAACCACTAAGCTGTGGAGAGCTTCTCTAATATTTTTTGATTAGCTGACAGTGTTTGTGGAGCTGCTAATACCTCTTCATCCAGAAGAGGACATTTCTCAAACAAAATCACAATAACCCTGAATTTGATGTGCAGTTTGTGACTGATAGCAGTAGCTTGGTCACAGTCAGTAAATAATGCTGTCTGGTGCTGTGTGGCTGCAATGCTGTTGCCTGTATTTCTGAAATGCTTATGCTCTGTCAATCAAGAGGCAGCAGATGCCATTAGAACCATCTCAGCACTTTCCAGCTGCACAAGAATTGCAGCGTCTCTTCCAAGCACAGCAAAATGTCATGACTTGCTGAGACCTTCTCTTCTAATTTTGTGTGTAGTTGTAGTTTTTTCTGATGAGCCTGTGGTCCAAGCATAATCTCACAGAAGTAAAGGTCGCTGTGTCTCTCTAGACAAGTTGCAAGATGTTACTGACTTTAACTCAGGGCGATGCCTCCCATCTCACTGGCACCACTCAGGTGTAGTGAGAGGTAATTCACTGTGGAATGGGCTGATGGCTGTTACAGGTAGGTAGGGAGTAAAGGCAGAGCTCCTTGGGGATGGCTGGAATTTATATGGAATTGTATCTCTGCCCTCTGGACAGGGCTCATTTAGGTATATATGATCAGATAAGGTGTGACACTTTTGCTGAAGAAACACCTACATCTCATATATTTTTAATGAATATATGGGAGAGAGAAGCCTTTGCTCATGTTTTTATCAGGTGGCTGTGGCTTGAGCTGTGGCTCAAGGGTTCTTTCATCCATACACCCATCAGTTTTCTCCAAATCACATCTGCCAGTGGGAGGGAGAGACTTGGCAGCATCCCCAACAGATCCATGAACCTTTAGCCAAGGATTTGGGTTCCCAGGATGAGGGCTGGTGGTGGTGGGGGAGCACTGAGGGAGAACCAATACCTTGTGGTTTCATATCTCATTTGGACTCCCTCAAAAAGCCTTGCTAGCTGTGAAGAGTCATTAATGACCTGCAAGTGGAATTTCAGCCTCCTGTAGTAATTTTAAAAAACACATAATAAAATATGAGAGGCAGCAAACTGGTGCTGGCAAAGAAGGAGGCGCAATATGCTGACAGTACTTTTATAACCCAAATTTGTGTTATTTCTTGGCTTGTAAGCTATATAAAATATCCTTACTCTGTCATGTGTTGTAAAATCTGCCCCTGTGCATTAATACAAATAGAATAATGGAGCCAAGTCCTGGAATTAAAGATGGAAAAAAAAATAAATCTTGGCTCAGAGAAATTGCAGAAATACTGTTTAGC